ACTTGGAATTGGCAAACTGGCATGAAAATGGTACCTAAGAACTGCCAGTAGTGAGCTTTGAAAATTGAATGTGTGCTAGGCCTATGTTAATTGCATTCTGGAGGGATGGCCAGTTTTCCATCTAGAGTCTTAATGGTTCAAGGTATCACTGCATGCCAAAGATGGGCTTCCCAATTTAGCATTTAGATTTTAACAGTAAGGACAGAGTCCTGAGCAATGACCTGGAAGTAGCATGGTCATTCACTAAGTTGTCTTGACCATTCCTAGTCATTCACACTACTTAAAGAATAGCCAGATCTCATTCATGAAACAGTTCTACAGTTCTCCTGATTTATAAATCACTGCCAAATCAATATGACTCTTAGGAAGATGAAGTTCATGGAAAGAGTATTGACATTGAAATCTGACACATCTGAGTTCAAATAGTGACTGAATCTGTTTTCCTGCTTTATAATACGAGAACATATTTAACCTTGCAGTTATGTCTTCAGAGTTAAAGGAAACAGTAGATGTGGCAATGAACTGATGTGAAGTGGAACTCCAGATTCAGTTCTCATGGAGAAATAGTTCACGTGGGAAGAATTTTAAGGCTTGTCCTGGACTGTGTAGGGCCTACACGTGGGTTCTAAATAATTCAGGCATAATGTAGATATTCAAGGGATTATGGGCCTCTGGCATGTGGATGTGTCCATTTTGACTGGAAGAGAAAGAATGTTGAAAGGATCAGGGTTTATGTTCGATAGAAAAATTACAGTATCTCCTGATTCTCCTAAATATATATATATATATATATTTTTCTTTAATCATTTTATTGAATGGTCTGAACTTGGTGCAATGAGTCAATAGCTTTCTTTTTGTTTCCATAGCTACCATCCAATATGATCTTCTGGATCTCCTTTCCCTGCCCTTTGATAGCATCTCAGGAAGATCTCACCTTTATTATAATGTTTGGGTATTAATACATAATATTTTTCATGTATGATAATCTAGATAAAAAATTCACTCATTATTTGCTTCAGTGCTTTTCTCCTCACCTTAGTTCAGACCTCAAGCCTGAAGTTCAGGGACCAGCAGTAAGGAAGGAGCCACAGCATGTTCTGTCACTCTCCATTCCTTCCCTCACCCCCAACTTCTGGCTGCCCTCAAACTTGGGGAAGGTTTACAGGAGAAGGCAAAGAATTTTGTTTACTTCTTTAAGAAACAGCTAGTTTTGTTTGTAATGCAGCAGGCCCTTGAATAATGTCATCTATTCAATGTCATTTTGTTATTTTCATGAGGTAGATGCTATGGGAGCTTAACTCTCGTTTATATCAATTAGCCTGTAGTAAAATCGGTTTTGTTTTAAGTGGTTTTGCTGCAATTCCAAGAACCCATTAATGATGTTAAGTGAGGACTTACTGTACTCTCCTGGTTCTCAGAGTCCTTTGTTATGACAGGAACCCAATTGATAGCTTTTGTCTGAGGCATTCTATGGGTTCTTCAGAGAACCCTGTAGAAAACCTCCATGTTGTCTTTGGTGTGGCTTTTGGACTTTCTGGCTGAACTCTTACAGTCTCTCTTAGCTCCTGCCCTAGTCATTCACACTTCCAGCAGTGCTTGGGGACAATGTCACCCTGATCCCTTCCCCAGCACCCATTTGGGTTACAGAAAGCTCACCATCTTTGCCCCACTGTAAGGCAGGAGTGCACATGCTGCTGCCATGCTCCACTCCAGCTAGCCCCCAGCTTTAGGCTGCTCCAGTGGTGGTCAGGTACCCTTCTCTGTGCCTCCACAATACAGGTCAGGTTTTCCCAGGAACTTTCTTGGGCACCGTTCTGGTGGCAGCAGGACTGGGCCAGTAGTCTCGGCAGATCAGCAAAGGTAGGATGGGTGTATTTTGGGTACCAGTCTTCCTTCCTGGGAATAATTCCCATCTATGAGTGGTTCCCTTGAGGTTCATCTCCACCCCATTCCTCACAGGAAATGGTAAGGAACATCACAGTACTCCAAACTGTTGTGAATTCCCTTTCAGGAATCCTCCCTAATGAATCTCTGTGCTTCTCTTATGTAGGCTATTTTGTGTAAAGAGTGGCCACTTTGGCTACTTCTTAACCACAATGTTTTGAGCCCTTGTCCTTAGATTATGACTCATATATCACCCAAGAGGACTTGGCTTTGAGGCTCTATTCAAAATCCTAGGCAACAGAAGAGTCCATTTCACCTCCTATAAATGTGGGTGAGGTGCAAGAAAAATGACTGGCTTAAACAAATAAATCTATCAATTAGTAGAGTGAAAAATGGACTCAACTTCTTTCAGTTCCATATTAGAGGCCTGTGACTCCAAACTTTCCTAACTCTTGACTTTCTTACTCTTCTGACTCTGGCTGCTAAGACGCATCTCCTGTCCATAAGCCCATTAAACCATTCCTGACTTCCTCCCATCCCAAAATGTGTCTAGCCCACATTGGGGTCCCATAAGACTTTTTCCAAGAGCTAGTCTCAGATGCTTAGAAGGGTAACAGATGGATATTTTAATAGGAACCTTCTGGAATGCTTTATCTGCTTATGGTGAAATTTTCAGATCCAAAGACAGACTGGTGGAAAAGATAGCACTGAATGCATCATATTCTAACCACATCAAATTTGATGAGTCCGTGAGTTATTTTCTTACAATGGCGTGCATACAATAAAAGCTTTTGACTTGAAATATTGATGTCCCTTTGTGTTTCTAATACATATGACAACACACTTTTCCATGTGTAACCACAATAAAGAAATGTTTTTAATGTTAGAATAATTTGCCACAAATGTATGAGAAAAGACTGAGTTGAACCTAAGACTTTATTAGTTCTATTTTTATTTCTCATTTTCCCTGCAAAGCAGGTAGATAAAAAACGGTGGCTGTTTTAGGTGAAAAGCATCTTCTTTCACAGACTCTCTCTGAAAGTGGATTCTGGCCAGCATGCAAATCATTTCTTTCTGGGGATGACATAAATTATTGGCCACTGGGAATCAATCAATAGTTCCTGCTCCACCCCTATTTAAAAAATGCCTTTGTGTCCTTTGTAAGGAGAGTTAGACAATTTTCTTAATAAATCTTTAGTTTGTGGGGGGAGGGTTCCCCCAGAAGCAGCCATAATCAATGCTGATGAAAAATATCAGCACCTGCAAACGTAGAATTAAGGATGAGGGCTGCAAGCCACCAGCAGGCACAGGTGAGCCACCTGGCAACAAAAACCCTGTTTAGACCTCAACAAAAGCTCAGAGGACAAGATTCTTTTTGTAGGTCTTTGGTTTTTCCTTCTGCTGATTTTTCCTTTGGTCTGGTGGATTGTCTTGACAACCCATCCCCATGAAGCAATAGGATTGGTGATAAAAGACTGACATAGAATCAAAACCCTGGATTCAAGTCCTGGCCAGCTAATTACTCGCTGTGGGCACATTGCCTAAATTCTCTGAATATCAATTTCCTCATTAGCAAAACATAATGTCTTTATCTCAACCTCAAAAAAAACCTCATGATGCATTAAATAAGTCTACGCAAATAAAAATATGTGGAAGTTCTTTGTGAACTCTTAAACCCTACCCAATTGTGTGACAGGGAAATTGCATAGGGACAAGGTATTAGAAAAGGGAAGGCAGACTACTGCTGCAGCCATCGGGGGGCTGAGCTTCTATTCCTGGCCACTCGCTTGGCTTCCTGTAGTTCTAAGAATAGAGACAACTTCCTCAATTCAACCTACAGGCCCTGCAAGATCTGGCTCCTTCCTAACTCACCAGCTTTGCCATATACATTTTTTCTCTTCCTTGTGTAGAACTGTGCAAGGTGTCCGAGCAAGCAGCACAGCTTCACCTGAGCTGGCAAAGCGCAGCGCCTGTGTGGGGAGGGAGGAGTTCTGCAAGCAATCCAGCAGGCCTCCGAACTGGGAGAAGTCACCTATTTGGGGACATTTGGGAGCTATCATCCTGAGTTGTGGGATTGTCAACAAGGTCAATGATGGCTCTTTTTCATTCAATTAAGGGAGTAGGGCACAGATGGTACAGAGAGGAACAGTGTGAATAGTGTAGGGTGGTTTCTGTTAACAGGTTTATGAGTAAGCATGAGGCTCCTCCTCAGGACCTGCAGAAATGCCTGAGGAAGACTTGGGTGCTGGGGTGAAGAATGGGGAAGCGGACATCAGGCAGAGAGTCTGTAGGTACAGGTGGGACAAGCAAAAGAACTTGGGTCACTATTGTAGCCACAGCTTAGGGTAGGTCTGCTGACACTTGGGTTAAAATTTAAGGGATTGATATCATTTTGCATGTGGTAAAAAAACATTTCTGAGCTGATAATTCTCTGCACATACATGCCCATATCAGGCAGTTCTTGGGCACAGCCCCTCTGGTAACCAATAGGTCCTGGTTTGCCCTGGATTTTCTCAGTTTTCATATTCTGGGCAAAACAGGATGGTTGATCAACTTACCACTCATTCTATTTCTTACCTTCACACTGGTGAGACAAGCAGACCACTCATAGCCTCATAACATAGCAGAAACAAGACCATATCTTCCCTTTGGGATATTTAGAATCTACAAAACAGCAAAGATATAGTGCAAAGCTCTTTTTTAAATTGTGCACCTGAGGCTGAAAATGCACACAAGGAGGGCTCCTATCCTAAGATGCTATTCTAGGCCAATAATTCATTTTCATTTACCAAGGCATATTCTTTAGCTTTTCTATCTATATATACAGTGACTATTCACATTAGATTTTCTATGATGGGTGTAACTTTTAAATATATTTTCCTTATTAATAAAAAATCAAGTATATAATTAATGTTATGAGTTCAAAAGCATTTTATAGAAATAAGATCTAAAGCAGACAAACGTGTTTGGTAGAAACTTTGCCTTGATTTGTCATTCTGAACTTAGGATCACTATGTCATGAAGATAGTCCAATCTTTCACATGGGAGAGTGACCCCCAAACAAGCAAACAAATACAAAATTATGAAGGGTAAGGAAGGGAAAAGATTCTACTGATTCCTTTATTCCAGAGATTCCTTGGCAGAAGCTAGTCCTAGATGAACAGGTTTCTAGATCTTGGTATTTGCTGGAAGGAGCCATCAGACTCTTCTGCTGGAGCACAGGATGATGGGGCTGTAGGACTAGACATCCAGGGAGAGGGCACATCTTCTTTCCCCAGGCAAGCTGAGAAGCTGAGGAGTAACCCACCAAGAGCCAGGAAAATACCAGCAGCCCAGCCCAGGTAGAGGACATCTCCAAACTCCCACCGAGGCACAATCTCGGGGATGCTGACATCCCAGAAGTCTTGAATTGTGGTGTAGGCCACCCAGGAGACTGGAAAGAGGGTAGTGGCTGAAGCTAATGCCTCCAAAGTCCCTCCCAGGATGCAGAGCCACCTCTTAAATGCCCATCTGATCCTGTGAAACTGGCAGCATTCCGACCCCAAGCCAGAGAGCAGAAGTCCCAATAATCCCAGCCCATGGGAGGCCACCATGAGGATGCGGGATACCTGGAGCTCCTGGGGCAGAGATAAGAAAGATTCGAAGGCCTGGCACACAGTGGCAACTTCCTCCTGATTCACGCAGACCTCCCAAAGGCCCATGATCCAGGTCTCCATTTCATTCAGTTCCAGATTGAGCGTCTTCCACTGGGGCAGGGCGGTGGTGACACATGAACAGACCCAGCCAAGGAGGGATAGGAGCAGTCCCCCGAACTGGGCTTTCCCCTGGAAACTCCAGGCCATGGTTGCTTCCACCACAGAGAAAGGAAAAGAAGGACAAGTGGCTCACTGACTGGTTAGCAGGGAGTACTTTTGGGGGTGTTGAGTGGAAAGTTTTTTGCATTTGGAGAGGATTCCTGTTTCAGTTTTCTAGGTAGCAGCTGAGGCAGGTGCCAGGAACTCGGCAGTGTTTGGGTTTAGGGGGAGTGCCCAAGATTAGATATGGGTGTGGATTCTGGGGGAGGGTCCCATGAGAGGCAAAAAAGCCAGACAGTAAGCCATCAATACATATGTGATGAGTTAAGTTCATAAAGTTAAAATCACTCTCCAGTTCCAAGATAACAAGAGTGAAGTCCTGAAAGTATATGTTGATGTGATGTCTCTGGAGGGCAACAAGACTTCATAGTTCATATTTTAAATATATGCATACCCTACCTCCATGAGTTTAACCTAATTTATTGTGAGTATATACAAGGATTTATGAAAATGTCCATCGAAATATTATCAATAATTGCACATTTTGGTTAATACTAGGCAACCATTTTAAAATGATGTAGAAAAAAATGTTAATGATGTGAAAAATGTGTTTAAGTGAGAAAAGCAGGTGACCAAATAGCATATAGAATATAATTTCATTTTCATAAAAAGTACATATATGTATATGTACATTTATGTATGTATATATCTATATCTGTATCTATACATATATACCACAAATGTTAACCATGGTTATTTAGTAAAAGAATTATGGGTAGTTTTTATTTCCTTATTTGTGCTTATCTATACATCTTATAAATTATATAAATTTTTCACTTAGTATTTTTGTAAGCAGAAAAAAGAAGAAAATTCCAAGGATCCCATCCAGATCCAGAATATACCAGAAGGGAAGGGCTGTGTCTCCAGTCTCCTACTGCTGCTTGGACAGCAACTATAAATAGATGGTAGTCATACCAGTTTCCATCCTTTATTTGTTGCTGCTGTTAAGAGGCAGGTTCTGACAAGAAAGAAAATAATTTGCATTTACTGAGTGTCAGACTTTGCTTAGATGCTACATCCTTACCTAATTTTCACACCACGATTATAAGATACGTGCTAGGTAACTTTGCCAAGGTCCCCAGTTGGTAAGCGACAGATCCAACTTCTGAACCAGGTGGCTTAGACTGTGACATTTCACGTTCTTGTCTCCAGGCTGAAACAGTGACTCCTCCTGCAGTGGCATCTGCACACTGGTGACACAGCACATAGGTGAGGGTTACTCTTTATGGCAAAACAGAAGAAAATTGAGATTTTTTATACTGAAGACAGAAACATTGACCAACACATTTCCTTTTTCATATTTTAACCTATTGATTACCCTGTGGTACACTAGGAGGTGAAAGTAGAGGTGTGGTAAAGTTAGCAAGGAAAAAGCAGTATCCCAACTTTATCCGAATGATGTCTCAGCACCTAAGCAGCCAGATTAGATTGTCAGTGGTATGGAGGTAGAGGAAGGCAAGCAGAATCATCAGGAATACTTTTTTTTCTTTTGTTTCATTACAGGAAAGTTTCAAACATACATAAAAGTAGAGCAAATGCTACAAAGAAATCTCATGTCCCATCACCCAGCTTTAAAAATTATCTACTCATACCAATCTTGTTTCATCCATACCTATACCTACTCCCTTTGTCCCTCCCTTCGTACTACTTTGAAGCCAATGAACGCTCTTTCAAAATGTAATTATAACAACCAAATGTTCTAATTAATATGATGGCAAAATATTATACATCTCTGGAAAACACTGTCTGCTTGTACTGTATCCATCCAGATTTGTGTTTGATATATTCTTTCTGCATACAAGAGCAGACATGTGTCAGCCATGATAGGTCAGAGGAGTCCTTTGCCACACATGTGTCAGCCATGATAGGTCAGAGGAGTCCTTTTCCAACATTGCTCCTTATTGCCTCACCTTTTTTCAGAGCCATTTCTTGATGATTTGTGAAAATCTCTGTGTGGAGACATATAAACCACGATAAGTATGAACTATGAAGGAGGTCAGGTTAGTGAGGGAAAATGAAACCTATTCATTTACTAATTTCTTTTTATTTATTCAAGTATCCATTCATGCCTGCATGCATTGACTGTAAGGAGCAATCCCACTCCATTCTGGATGCTCTTTCTTTTCCTTCCTCAGCCTAACTCTGGCTTTTCCCTGTCTTTTCCTGGATCCTTAAGAAATAGTCGTTAGCGTATCCAGTGGCCTTTCTGCACAGGGAGAGGCAGAGCTTCTGTAGTTGTGTTTGTGAGAATGCATGGATCTCTTTCCTGCAAGAAGATCCCAGAACCTCAACCTCAATGTAGCACCTCTTTCCATTCTCACTTCAGATTTCTTCCTACTGTGAAACCTCCCTGATTCAATCAGTAACTGAGGGGGGCCTCCCGCTCTGTCCTTTACACCTTCCTCAGAGGTGGATTAAGCTTTAGGGCTTGTTAGTTGCACAGGCCTCTTCCAAGGCCTACACCTAATTTTGTATTTGTACCTTATATTCTTTTCTTTAGAGTCCTACCCCAACCTGCACCCCAGCAGCTGTATAAGATTTAGGTCTCACCCAATCTGGATCCCTCTCTCATATATCTCCAAAATAGTAATGATCATATTTTCCCAGAATTATTTATTCCCAGCCTAGCACAGTGTCTATCGTATAGTAATTGCTCAATAAATACCTTTCTCTAGGGGCATATATTGTTATTGGTAGCATTTAGAATTCAAATTAAGGCTGACAGGTCTACCAAACAGAAGTCGACTTGGTTTTCTAGGGAGGGGAACTCCCTGGGCTGTTATGGCTGTCCTTTGTGCTTCCTGTCTCAATCCCAGTTTCATTTCCTTTGCTCGTGTCCTAGGAAGCTGTCCTTGCCTCATTAGGATAAGCAGATTGTCTCACAGAAACTTAAAAGTGGCAAGGACCTTAGGGTCAGCATCTACTTGGGGTCAACCCTCACAAGTTACTTTTTAAATTTTAAGGATAACATTTTAATTAAAGCAGTATA